ATTGAAATAGAATGTTCACATATGGGAACATTAGGATGTTAGTTATGCAGTTTTGTTTAATGTAATGAGATTTGTTGTTGATAATCAAAATTCGGAAACAAGATATTTCCTGTTTCCGTTGCTGAAGTTGCTGAAGTGTCATTTTATATGAAACCTTTAATGAACAGCTAAGTAAATGGGGAATATTTGATAAAAAACTAAGGATAAATGAGTCAATAGTGCCCTGTTTTGGCAAACACATGTATATATATATGATGTATGTATATATATATATATATATATATATATATATATATATATATATATATATATATATATATATATGATATATATATATATGATGTATATATATATGATGTGTATATATATATATATATATATATCATATATATATATATATATATAGAGTAGGAACCTCATTTTTATTTTTATTGGTATAAACACATAAAGCAGAGTAGGAACCTCATTTTTATTTTTATTGGTATAAACACATAAAGCAGAGTAGGAACCTCATTTTTATTTTTATTGGTATAAACACATAAAGCAGAGTAGGAACCTCATTTTTATGAGGTTCCTACTCTGCTTGATGATGTTATGGAAATAGCATCTGAAGCTCAGCAGACAGTCAAACAGGCTTTTAATTATTATAGGCTATTATTGGCTATTATAGGTATTAACGGCTGATGATTGCCTTCAGGCATGAAACTTTAAGTCCCGCTAATTAGTTGTTTTTATTCATCTAAATATAATTATATATAGCTCTATTATTCAGTAATATTGAGCACTGTAACACGTACAACAGACTTCGTATTATTACATCAAAATACTTAACCTCGAATATATTCTATATATCGAAATCTATACAAATACATATATATATATATATATCATATATATATATATATATATATATATATATATATATATATATATATATATATATATATATATATATATATATATCAGGCCTTGTGATTTTGACGTCATTAAATTCTTTTTATTTGCTTTTTATATTTATCGACATTAACTGTACCAATTTACTTAATTACCGCAAAAGTACTTTAAATCATTAATGTAGAAATGTTATTATTTAAAAATGTTTTTGAATGTTTCGTTTTTAAAATGTAAAAACATTTGTTTATTTTCTCGACGTTTGACACATTTTGTCTCTACTAAACAAATAAAAAACATTATAACTAAACATTTTAAAAAGATTATAAAATATGCAAATATTTGATTTTTTTTTTCTCAAATATGTAATTTTAAGTTTTTCAAATAATTATTTTTTCTTTTTAAAAAGTCAGCGAGTAATAAACTGGAAATTTTAATATTGTACGATTAAAAACTGTGCAATAGCTAATATTTTTACCAGCGATTTTATATAATTTTTTTTTATTTATTTATTTTCATAAAGCAGTTGATAAGCACAATAGTAATATAGTAATCTATATTACTAAAAAACTTGATTACTAAAAAACTTTAACGAACGGTTTGAATAGAATTTTAATGTTTACAAGGAATTTTATTTCTAGTAAAATAAGTAAAAGAGTTTTGGTAACTTTTAACAAAAAAGCGATTGTTATTATATAAGTTTTATTATTTAAAATTTTTTTTGAGTTACTTTTTACAAAAATTTTAATAACTACTTTTTTATTGAATCAAGTAGAATACGTTTTAATATTATTCCTTTTATTTTTTTTTACCAACTTTTAAAATGTTTCCTTAAAATCACTCTTAAATACTTTAAATACATCTAACAGTTAATAAATATTTTTAAATCTATGGAATAATTTTAAAATCTAACAAACCCCCGTAAAATAATTATTTAAGTTAAAAATCTAAAACTAAAAGAAAGTGTTTTTGTTCAATTTTATCGACAATTTTGCTATTGCTGAATAATTTTATTAAAATGTTAGCTTAAAAAGATCTAAACTTTTTTTTTAATCTGAATTTTTTCTACTTTGTACAATAAGCATATTTAATTTTTTTGTAATTCAAACTTTTATATCAACTGCGTGCAGTTTTTAAAATACTTTATTATATGATAAATTACCGCAAATTACTTCATTAAAATTCCGCTCAAAAATATCTTTAAATATACTCAAACAAAAAATTTTTGCTCAACGCAAATAGCCCTAGCTACACGCAAAATCGCTTTTGGACGACATAAAATTCACATCGCCCGACATTTTATCGCAAGGCCTGATATATATATTATATATATATATATATATATATATATATATATATATATATATATATATATATATATATATATATATATATATATATATATATATATATATGTATGTATATAGGCCTCAACGGGAAGCGGGTTTAGCTCTTGCTCTCGCCTACACTACCCTAAAACGGTTAACGGGAGCAATTTATGGCTCTTGCAAAAGTATAATTTTTTCTAAAAAATATAATTATTATTGTAACTAAAACAAACAGTCATTTTAATAACTATTTTTAATAATTCTTAAAATGCCAGCATTTT